CTGCTGTATTTCCAATGCTTTTTATGGATCAGTTTCTGGACTCTATTCTGGACTCTATTACCCAGTCGTCTATTTGTCTATCTTCTGTGTTAATTACTGTAGCTTTATAATAAGTCTTGATATCTTGTATAACAAAACTCTCACTTTTATGATCTTCCTCAAAAGTGTTTTCATTATTCATAACCCTTTACATTTCCATATAAATTTAGAATCAGTTTGTCAATTTCCACTAAAAAATTAATATTTTTGTTGACATTATATGGAATCTATAGATCAACTAGGAGACAAATGATACATTTACAATATTGAGTTATTCAATCCATGCTCATGGTCTACCCTTCTATTTATTTATTCTCCATTTATTCTCTAATTTTTCTTAATCCAGTTTTTTTTTCCCCTGCATAGAAGTTTAATTAGATTTATCCCTAGGCATTTGATAGTTATCAATGTTATTATAAATAGTACCTTTGTGGTTTTTTTACATTTTTATTATGTGTTGCTGGTATTAGAAATATTATTTATTTTCGATATTGCTTTTTTCTCCAGCAACCTTGGTATACTCATTAATTCAAATTTATCTGTAGGTTGCTTTGAATTTTCTACATGTTCAACCATGTTATCTGTGGATAATGACAGCTGTACTTCTTCCTTTCCAATATATATGCCATCTATTTTTCTTTCTTTATGGCACTGATTAGGACCTTCAATATAATGTTGATTAGAAGTGGTGATAGTAGGCATCTTTGTCTTGATCCTATATTTGTTATAAGTTTTTGTAGCTGCCCTTTTTACTAGATTAAGAAAGTTCCCCTCTAAGTTTGCTAAAGGTTTTTATTGTAAATAGATGTAGAATTTTATCAAATGATTATTTTGCTTCTATTGAGATGATGTGAGTTTTCTCCTTTATTCTATTATAGTGAATTATGTTGATTAATTTTCTTTTTTTGTTTTATGAGGAAGATCAGCCCTGTGCTAACATCTGCCAATCCTCCTCTTTTTTTTTTTTGCTGAGGAAGACTGGCCCTGGGCTGACATCCGTGCCCAACTTCCTCCACTTTATATGGGACACTGCCACAGCATGGCTTGCCAAGTAGTGCATCGGTGCACACCCGGGATCCGAACTGGCAAACCCTGGGCTGCTGTAGCGGAGCGCGTGCACTTAACCGCTTGCACCACTAGCTGGCCCCCTCGATTAATTTTCTAATGTAAGCCAAACTTTCATTCATAAACTGGACCCAATTTGGTCGTCATACTTGTAATTTTCAACTTTCCTGTACCATTTTGTTTTAGAGGTATATCTTACTAACAACTCAGAGCTAAATTTTTTTAGTCCAGTCAGAGAGTCACTGTCTTAAACAGATCCATCCAACCAATTCATTTGAGGTCAATTTAAACTTAATCTTGCTTTCATTTTACTTTTGAAAATGTTATACTTTCTTGGGAATTTCATTCTTTTTCACTTTTCCTACCTTTTGTTAGATTAACAGCATTTTCTTTGTTCACTTTTGTTTATTCCTTTAATATTTAGAAATTAGAAACTCATTCTCCTAGTGATTACCTATAATTTTGGAAAACACATGCTTAAGTTTATAGCATGTTTTCACTTTTCTCCACTCTCTCATATATTCCCCCACCTGTTGATATATAATCTAGTACTTTAGTCTAAGATTATTTTTAAATTTTCTTTACAATGAACACGTCTGTAGATTTAGCAATAAGTTTCACTGCTCATCATCGTTCCTTATAATGATAATCATAATTACAGTAGTAGCAAACGTTTATATAGGGCTTGCCATGTGCCAGGCACTTTGTGAGGTGCTTGACAATTATTAACTTATTTAATCCTCATAACAGCCCTGTGAAGTAGACCCTATTATTATTCCCATTCTTTTGTATATAAACTGAGACAAAGAGATGATGCATGGTTTTCCTGAGGTCAGACAACTAATAGGTGGATCCAGAACTTTGCCTTTAGAGCCTTTATTCTTAATGTCTACACAATCCTGTCTATATCCTTTTATTTTTTATCTCTTTTCTTTTGTACTAAATTTTTTTCCTGGTGAATTGATCTTCTAGTTCTTTTAAAACTGATCAAGGGATGATAAACGGCATCATTGAACGTCTGAAAATGACTTCTGTATTGCTTGGTATTGAATTTTAGGTTCAAAATTATTTTTCCCTCAATACTTTAAAGATATCATTGTTATCTCTTTGCATTAATTTTGCTCATGGGGAATTTCTTATTAAAATTTAATTCCTTTTTTAGGTAATCTAATCTAATTTTTTTCTCTTTGGAAGCTTGGTTTTCTGAATTTTTCCAAACAAGAATTTCTTGCAATGCAAAGTATGTTCCTTGGACAGCAACATTAGATTCACTTAAAAACTTGTTAGAAATGCAGAATCGTGGGCCCCACCTCACACCTTTTGAAATATAATCTGCATTTTAATGAGATCTTCAGGTAATTTTGTTTGCATATTAAAGTTTGAAAAGAACAGTCTCAGATAGGTCTTTTTTCTTAGTGAAGTTCTTCCCACATGAAACAGAGTAGAGAGAATAATATAATGAACACCTAAATACCCTTAACTTAAACTTAACAATCCCTAATGAATGTTAAAGTAAATTACAGACATCATGATATTGCACCCCGTATCCTGCAGTATGCATTTCTAAAAGGTAAAGGTATTTTTTTAAACTAAATTAACAACAATTCCTTAATATCCTTAGATGAGTCTTTTTAAAATTTATTCTACTCAATATTTGGTGGGATCTTTCAATCAAAGGATTGTGTGGGTTTTTTCCCCAAGTCTTGGATATATCTTTTCTCTCTTCTAGTTCTCTTTTATTATGTCCTTTTGTAACTCCCTCCTCCATACCTACTTTTTCCTTATACTCTTCATCTGCCTGCCTTTTTGCATTACACACTGAAAAATTTTCTCTGTTCTGTTCTCTACTTATTAACTCACTCTTCAACTATGTCCATATCACCTATTTATTTCTTTAATTTTGGCATTGATTGTTAATTTCTAAGAACTATAGTTAAAATTTTATGGATAGAGCACTGTACCTTCACGATTCTGAGGATATTTACAGTTATTCTGAAGTCATGTCCTGGTTTCTGTCTTTCTAGTAAATTTTAGTAAATTTAGTAGATTTAGTAAATTTAGTTACACAACAATGTGAATATAGTTAACACTACTGAACTGTACACTTAAAAATTGTTGAGGGTAAATTATATATTATGTATTTTTTTACCAAAATTTTTTAAAAACTTTTTAAAAATCCCAGTACTCTAGTCAAACTCCTTCCTAAATCAGATCAGAATGTCTTGAAATGAGAGTCAGGCATTAGTATTTTTTAAAGGTCCCCAAGTACATGGTAGGCAACCCCTAAGACGGCTCCCAGTGATCCCTGCTTTCTGATATTTACACCTTTGTGTAATACCCTCTTCTTGAGTGTGGGCTGGACTTATTGACTTGCTTCTAATGGACAGAATAGAACAGAAGTGATAGGATGTGTTTGAAAGATTAGGTTATGAGAAGGCCATGGCTTCTGTCTTGCATGTTCTCTCTTGCATTCTCTTTGACTGCTTGTCTGGGGGGAAGCCGGCTGCCACGTTGTGAGCAGCCCTGTAGAGAAGCCCCCATGGCAAGAGACTGAAAGCTTGTCAGCAGGCATGTGAGTAAACTTGGAAGCAGATCTTCTCCCACCACATCATGAGAGACCTTGAGTCAGAGGCATACAGCTAAGCCACACCCAGATTCCTGACCCACGGAAGTTGTGAGATGATAAGTGTTTGTTGTTTTAAGATGCCCAATTTGGGGATGATTTGTTAGGCAGCAACAGGCAAATAATACACCAGGTGATTCCAATGTGCAGTAAAGTTCAGGAACCACTGAAGTAGGCAAATATGTGTTTTCAGAGGATTCTAGGCTCTTCTTGAGTCCACAGGGCAATCTTGAGCATAAAATGCAGAGAGATTGTATAGCCAGAGGCAAAGGGCTAACCTGTCAGACCCTCACATCAGACAGTCATTGGCAGGAGCCCTCTGGAAGGAGGGTAGGGGTGGGGAAACCCCAGCATCCCCAAGTAAGCTCTCATCATCAGAGCGAGGCTCCTAGAAAGTTGCAGGTGTCGGTAGTGAGCAACCAACAAGCAGCAGCTGGGGGATGTGTGTACTGGCCTGGTAAATGGGTTCTGGTGGGGCACAAGAGCATCTTTTCACAGGGTACACTTCAGCCTTCATAAAGTGAATGTGGAAAAGATGAGGCAAGGTTCTGGATGGGATATACCAACAGAGGGTATTCTGAGCAGGAGTTTCCCCATTCCTAGTGGGTGTCATCAACCACCCCAGGAATCTTCTCCTTTGCCTTTGCAACTTAGGTGCCCACAGTCATCATTCCTTCTTTAGGGCAGACATCTCTGTTCCTTACTGACTTGTTCAAGAGGTAGGAATGGTGTGGAAAGTACATTTGTCTGGCCATTCTTACAGTGGTACTCCGAATAGTCACCCATTTGATTTCTTCAGAGGTACCTCCTGCTCCCAGCATCTGCCGTTTCTGGGCTTGGAGCATTTTTAGAAGTATACCATATCTTTGTAGCCATCTTTACTTATGCACATTTTGGCCTATAGTTTCATTTTTCGATCCTAAACTGTCTCTTATCTTCCTGGGATATACTTTGTTTCTTGTCCATTGAGGACTCCTCTTTTTTTCTAGTTAGGTTATGGATTTTTCTGTCTTCATCTCAAAGGATTTAGGGATGGTGGTAGAGGCTGCAGTTGTGCTCAGCCCAACATCTTGGATGAAATCTCTATAAAATTTTAGCCAGCACTAAAAAATATGTGAAAAATTTTACCACCATTAAATGACCTTTACTCAAAAGCAGAATGTTTACGTTTGAAGTTGTTGTAAAGGTTAATATATTTGCTGTAAAATTTAATATAAAACACTATTTGGTTAAAAGGATGTTTTTAAATTGGTTTTCAAAGTCTTTCTCTCAGTTTTGTACTAGGTGCTGTCTCTCCTGCTGTTGTTGTCCCTGCCATGCTGGTTTTGCAAGAAAAAGGATATGGTGTTGAGAAAGGCATTCCAACCTTACTAATAGCTGCCAGCAGTTTGGATGACATCCTGGCTATCACTGGTTTCAATACATGCTTGAGCATAGTCTTCTCCACAGGTAAACAAGAAATTACAACAGCTGCCATAGCATTCATAGCTCTTTTTTTGTTAGTTCTTTAAACAAGGTCTCTAGCTTTACTTCTTCATTTATTAACCAAGACTTTTTTACATTTAACATCTTTTATTCTTCATAGAAAGCTCATTCTAGACCACGGAAGAAATTTAAATGGGTTAAGAAACCACTACTTAACACAAATGATTTCATTTTAATAATCATATATTTCAGTTAATTCAATAACCCATATTATTACCTTTTGTCTGCTCATATTACTTTGGAATTTTATCACAGTTTTCAATAGAAAATTTTAAGCAGCAATATTATTAGTACTACTAATATATTTAATAGATATTTTTGAAATGTACCTTTTTGGCCATCATTATAAATAACTGGTTGCTCTATTATTAAGACAACTTAAGTATATAGAGTGTGGACAACTGTGCGCCTTTTTGGTAGTGGTGGGACGAGATCCTGCACCAATTCTGAATCTCAAGGTGATATTTAGTCTTAAATGTCACTCTGCAGAAATTGTGAAAGTAAACATTTCCACATTTAGTAATGTTTTAATTATCTACAATGTTTGAAATTCAGTCTTCTGTATTATTGAAGCACCAAAATATTTTTTAAGTTGAAGAGTAATATATATAGTTTCTCTTAAAATCATAAGATGTAAATAAAAAAGAAGAAAAAAAGGGAAAAGATAAAAACAAAATCTGCAATAGTCATGCCCCCAACAATAACAATTCTGATTATTTTGATGTAAATCCACCCACACTTCTCTCTCTCTCTCTTTCCCTCACTCTCTCTTTCTTTCTCCTCCCAATATTCTTATAAAATTATTGAACATTGACCATACTTTCTTGTAACCTGAGTTGTTTTGCACTTAACTTTATATTACAAACATGTTTCTTTTCCAGAAATATATTTCTTTTTTTTTTTTTTAAAGATTTTATTTATTTATTTTTTCCCCCCAAAGCCCCAGTAGATAGTTGTGTGTCATAGCTGCACACCCTTCTAGTTGCTGCATGTGGGACGCGGCCTCAGCATGGCCGGAGAAGCAGCGCGTCGGTGCGAGCCCGGGATCCGAACCCGGGTCGCCAGCAGTGGAGCGCGCTCACTTAACCACCAAGCCACGGGGCCGGCCCCAGAAATATATTTCTATGACATTTTTAATGGTTGCATAGTATTTGATTGGCTGCATCATAATTACTTAAGCCATTGAAAATTGAATTTGACTCTAATATTTACTATTAAAATAATGCCTGGTTGAACATCTTGTACCGAAATAGTTGCACCTACTTAATATTTTCTTAATTTTAAAAGTGGAATTGTTGGCCTAAAAAGTATATAGAGTTATAAGCTTTTAAAAATATGTTGCCACAACATCATGTCCTACTAGGATGCACAACCTTTCTCTTTACCTTCTTCAAAACTAGTATACTAGTCTTTTTTACCTTTGCTAATTTGATGGGTGAAAAATGAGGCCTCTTCAAATGAAGTACTTTGAATACTAGTGATGTTAAACAAATGTTTATATTTATTGTCCATTGGCATTTTGGAAGGTTTTATAAATTCCTTGTCTTGGAATCTTTTGCCTATATCTTATAGATCCATTCATCTTTTGTTCTTTTAGATTTGTCAAGATTCTGCATAAAATTAAGAATTATAACCCTTCATTTTATATCCTACAGTTTTTCCCATTTGTAATTTGACCTTTATCTCTGTTTTGCCATTCAGAAGTTCTAAATTTTTTTATTGTCTAATCTGGCAGTCTTTTCCTTCATGACTGGTTATCAGTCACTCTTTCAAAAAATATTTTTTGTACTCCTCTTCCATTGTGCCAGCTACTGTGCCAAGCACTGAGGATAAACAGTGAACAATAATATTAGCTTTTATTGAGTAAATCGCTCGGTACTTGCTCTAAGTTCCATAGATGTTTCCACTCATGTAATAGTCACAATAGTTCTATGCTCATTTTACAGATAAGAAAACTGAGGAACAAAGTTAAGTAACTTGCTCGAAGTCACAGATCCAATAAGTAGAGAAGCCAAGATGCAAATCTGGCAGTCTGACCCCAGATCCATACTTCTAAGTACTATCCTACACTGCCTCCCGACACAGCAGACAGAGAAGACCATGTGGCCCATGTTCTCAAGGATTTCATATTAAACAAATCATTACAAAGGGGGTGAACACTGCATAGTATAGGATGCTATGGGAACATGCTACAGGAAACCAAACCTAATTTGAGGAGAACCAAAAAAGTGAAAAACCCAGCAGGTAGATGCCTAGAAAATCCTCTCCCACCACCTGACTATGTAAACTGTCACTTAAAATTTTAAGGACTTTTACGGTTTCATTTTATACATTAGATCTCTAATACATGTATATTCTGGAATATGGTAAATACTGAGATCTAACCTTGTCTTCCGGGTCCACTGGCCCTTTTATCATTATATAATGTCCTTCTTTATCTCTCGTGACAGTGTTTGACTAAAAGTCTACTTTGTCTGATGTAAGGATGACCACTCCTGCTCTCTTTTGGTCGCTATTTGCATGGAGTATCTTTTTCCATTCTTACAGTTATAACAATCTATTTTAAAGTGATAACAACTTAACTTCAATCACATACAAGAACTCTACTCCTTCACATCTCATCCTCCTCGCTTTATGTTATCAGTGTCACAAATACATTTTTATGTTGTATATCCGTTAACATAATTTTATAGTTAGTTACTTTTTATGGTTTTATCTTAAATTCTATAACAAAATTAAAACTGATTTACTCACCACCATTACAGTATTACAGAATTCTGAATTCATCTATATACTTACCCTTACCAGAGGTTTATATTTGTCTGCTTTTGTGTTGCTGTCTAAGGTCCTTTCATTTCCACTTGAAGGATTTCCTTTAACATTCCTTGTAAGGCAGGTCCAGTGGTGATGAACTCCCTCAGCCTATGTTTATCTGGGGAAGTCTTCATTTCTCCTTCATTTTGAAGGACAATCTTGTGAAATACTATTCTTGGTTGGCAGTTTTTTTCTTTCAATGCTTTGAATGTATCATCCCACCCCTTCTGGCCTCTAAGATCTCTGCTGTGAAATCTCCTGGTAATCTTATGCAAGCTCCTGTGTACGTGATGAGTCCCTTTTCTCCTGCTGCAACTTCTTAGTTTGTTTGTGGCATTTCATAAAGGCTTTGGACTGTATATTGTGAACTTGGTGTCTCTGTGGAGGATCGAGGTTCTGAGGCTTCCCATTCCACTATTTTGCTTTTGTCACCCCCATTTCTACTGTTTTTAATGAAAACATATTTCTAAAATTGATATATTTACATGATGTATTGACCTAAATTCACAGAGCATAACTGAACTTTTTTTGTGACCCAGGATCATTTTTTTAAGCTTATTACAATAAACTACAGATATGGATAAATAAAATATATTGGAAACTCAGTTGACCCTTGAATATTCCTAAGGTTGACCCTGGAATAAATCTTTTTTTTATGTTGTTGCTGTTAAATTGTTCTTTTTATGTTTAAATCACTTGTTTCTTTGTCATAATAGTACCTCAGAGAAGAAACATTACCAGCCATGTGCTAGGTACCAGAGGCACTCCTCCCTTGTCAGTCTCTGTCCCTCCTTCTGCCTCACCTGGTCTTGAGGTGAGGTGTGTACGGGGAGTACTTTGTGGCTAATTACTTCTTCGTTTTCTGGCCTATTTACTCAGTGAACATTTCTGAGTTGTGTATAAATATAAATTATTTGAGAGTACATATTTAATTTGTGAAATAGATCTGCATATGCTTTCACATATGTAAATATTAAAAGTCTATTTTTGTATATTCTATAAAATGCATACCTTTCTTCATGAACCACCTAGATTTGATTTTCTGATGTGTTAGCTATGTGAAAATATTTCTCTATGAAATGTTTTCCTTATTTGTGCCCTTACAGGTGGTATCCTTAATAATGTCATAGCTTCTTTTCGGGACATACTTGTTGGTGTGCTGGTAGGAACTGTTTTGGGATTTTTTGTTCGATATTTTCCAAGTGGAGATCAGGTAAATAAAAAATTAATCTATTTTTTAGAAGTGTGTTATTAGACATTTCTTTCAAAAATTTGAACTTTTGGAAGATCCATGAGATATTAAATTTAATATTTAATTCTCTTTCCCAAAAGTAGTCTTCAGTGCCTACTCTGCTTAACCCAAGCACAGTTGTGATTGATACAGGGCAATAGCCTTGACTGAGGTCTCTGCTTTCTGATCTGGCAAATAAGGAATATCAGAAAAATGTACTCAATTCAGAGGACCCTCTCTATTCCACCCCACTCCTTTATTCATTAAATTGCCCTTTGACTCCTGACAATTTTTCCTTATCTTTTTTCCCTCAAACTCTCCTTTGAACATTTTTGGGGAGATAGATTCCCATTTATCTCTGCGTATTTCCTGACTTAAATTCACTCCTGCTCCCTTTGACTAAGGCAATACTGATAAACTCAACCCTTTCCTGCCCTGCAGCATGTGCATTACTCTTGTATTTCTGTAACTCCCATCTTAATTTCCCTGTAACAATTGTCTTAGCTAGAGAGATATTCAGAAATTTATTTTTAAGAATTCATTGGATATGTTATATGGAATTACAGGTTATATGGGTCTCTTTTTTTTCCTTCTTCACTTACAGTTAAAATATTATAACCATTTTACTGACATTAGTATCAAAGATGTGGCAGATGATGAAACTTAGTAATTGGAAATTTTGTCGCTTGGTACCAAGCCTGTAACATATTTGGTAAGGAAGAAAGTCAAAATTTGAGACATTATTTAATATAAAATATAGAGACGTGGTATCAAAGGGTCAATAATAAATGATAGATAATGTAAATACTGTGTTATATATTTAATGTAAGTTAATTTCTAAATATCTATCTAATTCTAGACAAAGCTTCCATTGAAGAGGGCATCCCTTCTTTTGAGTATGTGTGTCTCTGCTGTCTTGGGCAGCCACCGCATCGGTTTACACGGAGCTGGAGGATTGTGCACACTAGTGTTGACTTTCATGGCAGGGATGAATTGGTCCAAAGAAAAGGTGAATATTTTTAATATACCATTTTTTAAAAAGATAAAATAACCATTTTTTTTCTGTAATGGACATTTAGGAAATCTCCTTGTTCTAGTTGGAAGATGTTCTAGAAGTTTGTGTCTTCGAGGAAGTGTATGAATCAATCAAGAAAATAAAATATTTAGGAAAAGGACCTTGAAATACACTCAAATGCAATCAGAAATTGAGTTATTTCTCAGGCCTCTTTCTTTTTCCAAGTTTTGCAATATGATTATATAACTTTTGTTGATTTAATTATTTTATTCATTAAAATTTTGGTTATACAAGTAATACATGAAAACATGCTCATAAAAGATTAAAACAATACAGAGGGTCCACATATAGAATAAAATGTAAAAGATTCCTTTTCCCCCACCACTCCCAAATATCAAACCCCCCTTCTCAGAATTAATCCTTTCCTCTAATCAGCCCTCTATTTGTAGACGTTTAGGTCATTTCCTTTTTTTGTTATTACAAACAGTGTGCCATGAACAGTCCTGTTCATGTGTCTTCTTGCAAATGCACAAGTACTTCTGTAGGAATAGATTCCCAGAACTGGAATCGCTGAATTTAGAAATGGTATGTTTCTGTTTTGATGCGTACTGCCAAATTATCCCTTCAAAAGATTTTATTTATTTGCACTACTTACTGCCACAAGTGTAGGAGAGTCCCCAGTACGTCAAACCATCAGCAACCCTGGACATCATCACTAGTTCTATTGTTTTTACAAGCTGATGGCTAAGAAACTATATAATAACATTGTTATTCTTTATTTACATTTTTCTGATTAGTAGTGGGGTAAGCGTCTCTTCATATATTCTGTTTTAACTACCTATTCATGTTCTTTGCCCATTTTTTAATTGGCTTATTTGCCTTTTTGTTCCTAACTTATAGAGTTTCTCTATATGTTAGGGCTACTAATCCTTTGTTATACATATATTGCATATAATTGTTGCTTATCTTCAACTTTATTTTATAATGTCTTTTGTATGGAAGTAAAATTTCCTATAGTCAAACCTGCCAGTTTTTCCTTTTTGGTTTTGGATTCTGTATCTTGTTTAAGAAGGATTTCTTCGCCCAAGATTATAAGAGTATAAACATTATAACATCTTTTGCTTTATCACCTAATACTTTGGTAGTTTGTGTTGTTTTTGCATTTAGTTCTTCATCCATCTGGGGTTTATTTTTGTGAGTGCTGTGAGGTGAGGATGTACATGTGTGTGATTATATATCTATGGGTTCATGGACATATATACATACATGTAATAGATATATATATACATGTGTATGAATATGAATTGGATGGTCAATTTTTGCCAAATTATTTATTGACTAATTTATTGACATTAATTATTCAGTGATTTTTAAATGCCTCTTTTAACATGATCTAAACTCTCACATATATACAAGTTCATTTCTGGAATCTATTTAGTCCTTCTTATCTATTCCTATGCCAATACCACTCTATTTTAAATCACTGTAGTCTTATGTCTCAAAATCTAGTATAAAAGATTCTCTCTCATTGTACTTATTTTTAAAGTATTTCTTGGCTGTTAATGCCCATATTCTTTCTTAGATAAATTTTAGAATAAGCTTGAGAAGTTTCCTACTCAAAAATCATGTTGGCATTTTGTTTAGTATTCCAATAAAATCATAATTATAAAAGAAATTAAATGGTTAATAATAAATTACAATTAGATAAATGAAATGAAAACTTCTAGAGTTCTTTTTTTACGTGATAAAGGAAGTCAAACAGTAAAGAATAACTAGATTTTAAAGATTAAAAGTAACAAATAGGAGGGGCCAACCCCATGGCATAGTGGTTAAGTTCAGCGCGCTCTGCTTCAGCAGCCTGGGTTCGCAGGCATGGACCTACACCACTTGTCAGCCATGCCATGGTGGTGACCCACATACAAAATACAGGAAGGCTGGCACAGATGTTAACTCAGGGCATATCTTCCTCAAGCAAAAAAAGAGGAAGATTGGCAACAGATGTTAATTCAATGCGAATCTTCTGCAGCAAAAAAAAAAAAAAAAAAAGTAACAACTAGGATAATGTGTTATAAAGAAAAAAGAGTAATATTATTTGTTTCTTGTTTTTTTCCTTTTTTAAACTTTACTTTTATAAATGGAAATCAGAGAATCCAGTCATAAGGGGAATAGTTATGAAGATAGTTTAAGCCCCAAACAAAGGATATCAAGGTTTTGTGTATCTTCTATAAAGAAAAGATAAGTGGTGGCCAGCCTGGTGGCATAGTGGTTAAGTTCACGTGCTCCGCTTCAGCAGCCTGGGGTTCACAGGTTCGGATCCTGGGCACAGACCTACGCACTGCTTATCAAACCATGCTGTGGCGGCGTCCCACATATAAAAAGTAGAGGAAGATGGGCACAGATGTTAGCCCAGGGCCAATCTTCCTCAGCAAAAAGAGGAGGATTGGCAACAGATATTAGCTCCGGGCTGATCTTCTTCACAAAAAAAAAGAAAAAAAAGATATTAATAAAAAAAAAAAAGGTAAGCCCAGGGCCAGCCCCGTAGTGTAGCGGTTAAGTCCAGTGCGCTCTGCTTCGGTGGCCTGGGTTCATGGGTTTGGATCCCAGGCATGACCTACAACACTCATCAAGCCGTGCTATGGCAGCAACCCACATACAAAATTGAGGAAGATTGGCACGGGTGTTAGCTTGGGGCTGACCTTTCTCAAGCAAAAAAAAAAAAAGAGGAAGATTGACAACAGATGATGTGAACTAGGAGCAAATCTTCTTCACCAAAAGAAAAGAAAAGAAAAAAGATAAGCCCAGGCTGAGACTCAAGTCTCTCCATCCAGTTCCTGGTGAAGAGCCAGGGTACAGTTATGTCAATAGGGGCTTTGCTGTCACCACACAATTGGGAAAGTAGCACTGGGAGGGATTCGTTCCAAAAAAGGGAAGCAGGGCAGGCAACCAAATAAGAATCTATTCTACGTTTTTGGTTTGGTTTTAAGGAAAAAATAACTTTGAAGTTTTCAACATGGGTCCTTTGGGAGCAGGCCTAATAGATTACCAGAATTTTATTCCTAGTAGCTTAGGACATATTAGGATTCACTGTCATGGGACTGAGTTCCAGGATAATTGTTAGTACAGGTATTCCCAACTCCCTTTTGAGAGTGAAATGCTGGCATGATCTTGAGTATGTTCTCTTTGGGTGATATAGTTCTACCTCTGTTCAGTTACCTGATAAACAAAAGCGGGAACTCTTACCAAACCATCAGAACATGTCTAGAACTCCAAGGACTTACTAGTTCCATGACAAATAATATTTTTATTTTATAGCTTTGTAAATTACTTTTAATCAAATTTTACCTAAGTGTTTGAGTAAAAGAATTAACCTACTCAATTTTTATTAACTTTTAACATTTCTTCTACAAATAAAATATTTGTAGAAGTTTATTAAATGTAAAGTTTATTAAATGCTAAGAGAACCTTTAAATTTCTGAAATGCAGTTATTTTTATGTGCCACAATAACTAAAAATGTATTACTCTTTTCTACAGATTAGCGTCCAAAAAATTATTACAACTGCATGGAATGTTTTTCAACCCCTTCTTTTTGGTTTGGTTGGATCAGAAGTATCTGTTGCATCTCTTAAGTCAAATGCTATTGGTAAGAATGATTAGAAGCACAAAAAATATAAGATTTGAAAATATTTAGGAAAACTATGAATAATTTGTATTTTTACTTACAATGTGTCTTTGAATGCTACAAGGGCCTTGAGAAACTCATGTGGATCTGTTACCAGACACAAACACAAGTTCTTTACCTGCCACACAGGAGAGGCCAAATAAAAACTGGAACACCAGGCTTATAGCAAGGGAAGGGTTTTTGTTTTGGGTGATGTCAGCTGGGAGACAAGAGTGAGCCCTCAAATTCGTCTCGTCTCCCTGAAAAGATGGGAGGCGAGGGATTTTAAAGGTTGTGAGGAACGTGGCTGCTTGTAGGGGGTGGAGCCTGTGGCCTTGCTGGTTGGCGCTTTCCCATCAGCCTGCGTTTGGCCTTGTGAGGCTGCTGGCAGGGAGGAGGATGGCGAGATAAGAGAATCCTCAGATGAGTGTCCTTGGTCTCTGTCTCTGTGGTGGAGGGTGGATTCTGGCACCAGGAAGCCAAGGAGTTGGGGTCTGGGAAGCTTAGCTTCTTGATATTCTCTGGATATCAGTTTCCCTGTAACAAACCTCAAGAACTGGTAATTAGCCAAAACTTCAGTGTGAGCCCAGAGAGAGGCCACCTGGGCTTTTAACAATTTGTAACTTCTATTTACCTTGTGAAGTTCAGGGATACAAAGGTTTAAAAAAACACATATTTACTATGAGTGTAACTTTGAGAAGCAGGGAAAGAGGATGAGTGCTTTTGGTTTTAACCCCATATATACTGGGTTTAATGTAGGGGAACTGATATCAGGGCCGGCATCAGATCCAGTAAGAGCTGCATCTTCCTTCACCCTGTGTGCACTGTGTTCTCAGAGACAGCCTTGAGCATCTGCCCTGAGTGACTGGAGGAAATGGAGATTAGAATTATCTTCTGAGAGGAAATATTAGATAACATCAGCCCCTTTTGAATACTTTCATTTATAGTAAAAGTCCAAAGTCTATTCGCTCAGAATTAAGTAAATGTAATCTATCTTATTTTTCATGGTACCTCCACCATCAGATAATCTTTTGCACTTTACTTAGAAGCTCAATCAGATTTATGTTTTCTATGATTATTATTTTTACTTAAATGAAGACATAAAGTGGCAATAGTCTTAAAATGCTTTCAACACTTTTACAAATCACATCTCTAGGCATAAAGAAGGATTTCTTGCCAAATATTTTGTTATTTATGTTTGTTTTTATCTGTTGTAGGCCTTTGTGTTGCTACCGTGAGTTTGTCATTATTGATTCGAATTTCTTTTACATTTGCATTGATGTGTTTTGCTGGTTTTAGTTTTAAGGAGAAAATTTTTATTGCTTTATCATGGATGCCCAAAGCTACAGTCCAGGTAAGAACATATTAAGTCACTCTAATAATTTTAATGTTAATGAATTTTTAAAATTCTAAATGAAAAATGTTACTGCAATCACAAAATATGGGCTATTAGCCTGACTTTTAAAATGCTCAATTGATCACAACTATTCATTACATTTAATGTAATCTTTTAGAGTCTGTTTTAAAAACAATTCTTCTGAAATTGAAAAGTATACTTTTAATGACAAATAATTCCTAAACTTATGAAAACATTCTATTTCCCAGAATATAAAATGAGAGTATATCTGAAAATTGGAATTTTTACATTTTGCTGAATATTGTAGAGCTAAATGTTGTGATTTTAAAGTAGAGACACATTGATTCTTTTTAAAATATATCTTTCCTGCCCCTGCCACCCACTGTACCACACGTGAATGCACACGTACTATTTTAATTATACATTTAGTTTGTCTGACTATTGGATTGATGACTGAGTCTCACCGTGAGACTGTGTGAGAGGACGGGAGCAGTGTCTGGGTTTGGTATGTCTCCCTGGCACTTAACACGGTGCCTGACAGACAGGGTACACAGTGAATAAGCACTGCGTGCCTACAAGAATGAATGATGAGCGAATGAATAAATGAAAGACAAGGGAGACCATGTAGTTTTGCCCTCTGATTCAATGATATTCTCCTCCTACAAAAAGAATTGCTACTTACTGTTAGACTTTTTAACCTGTCAGCCTAAGGTCTTGATTTCCTGAGATTCTTTTCCTCATTGTTATTCCAAAACAGAAGCTTGTGAGTTTCCATTCAACAAAATTCTCTATGTGCCTGGGTTAGAAAAGCAGGCTCCTGGGGCCCGACTGCCTGCTTTGAGCACCACGCTACCAGTCACTTCATAGCCTCTCAGTGCTCGTGTGTAGATCCCAAACCTCTCATCGGTTTGGCTGTCTCACACTGTCTCCCAAATAGGAGGAACAAGGGAAAAGGAGCAACAAAGTCCCAGAGAACCAGGAGAAACCTCAGTATTTTGTGTTGTGTTGTTGCAGCCCAGTGGTACCTGGTAAAGGCAAATAAGCAAAACCCAGGTTCAGTTAGAACTCCTGCAGTTCTGAGAGCAGAGTGAGCACTCAAGGCAGATGTTTAAACAGGGGACAGCTGAGATGACAAGAACATAAAATCAGCCCCAAATGCCTGCACACTGGCTTGTCACTATTTCACTCTTCCTCCAGGTATATTTGCTAGGAAGAACATAGAATTGACGAGTAAGTCATGAAAACTCCTCAGCACTTTAAGTCTTGTCTCTTTTCTAATAGTCTAGTGCTAAGTGTTGTTTATTTTAACAGAGCCATTTACTTTTATTATATGTTAACTCTGTTTAACATTTTTCTTTATGCCTCATGTTTATCCCCCCTAAATGCAGGCCGTGTTAGGTCCTCTGGCTCTAGAAACAGCAAGAATCAGCGCACCCCATTTGGAACCATATTCGAAGGATGTGATGACAGTAGCGTTTTTAGCCATCTTGATCACAGCTCCAAATGGAGCTCTAATTATTGGCATACTGGGGCCCAAAGTACTTACACGCTGTGATGCAAGCAAAATAAGAGTGGAATTGACAGAATTAAAACTTCATTAAAAAGTTTACTTGCATCACCTCTCTGCTTCTTTTAATGAATTATCTCACATGAGAGAAAAATAAAAAGGTACAAATATGTGGAGTGTACTTAGAACCAAAGATTTAATAAATATGTGATTTCGCTATAGAGCTTTCCTATGATTTTTTATTCCAAAGTTAATTTAATAAAAATAATATAAAATAGAATGCCCTCCTAGTATTTTTATATTTCAAGAACAAAGTAAATCTGTAAATACCGTAGGAAAGTTTAAAGTAATCCATCAGGCTTATGCTGTCATAATACAAACTAAGCATAATAAAAAATTAAATGAATCTAATGACAGAAACATAAAATAGTCAAGTCTCTAAATAGGAGGAGTAGAACTCCCCATCAGTTTAGTAATTCAGTTAAAAAGATCACCTGAAAAAGAAAAAAAAAAAAAATGACAGGAATAAAACAAACACACCAACTTTAAATGGGTCACCTAAATAGCTTTTAAATTCTGGTTTTAGTAACTATCTGAATAAATTATATGTTAAGTAAAAGTACTTACTTTTAGTAAAAGTAGACTTTACTAAAGTTAGACTTAAATTACTTCTGCAATACCCTTAAAATGACAGTCTGGTTTAGTAGTTTTTAAATGAAACAGTATCAATAGTATTTATTTACAGTTATAAAGTTAAATCACAAATGGAAATAAACTGATTTTTTTTTTTTCCCCCCAATATTCCTACTGTTGTGTTGTCCAGGACTACCCCTGGTTATGCTTGTCTCCCAGAGTGATTATTAAAATTTCCCCTTTCACTCTCAAAAGTGTCCCTGTTTAAATAATAATGTATATGACTACCCTAGATATTGATTGCCATCCTCACTTAATCTGGATATAAACTGATTTTTTAATAGTGTAAAATAATGTAGGAATTGAAGTTGGCCAGCAGAAATGAAAAGATTAATAGCCTATTTTCCATATGAGATTGTTTTCTCCTTAGTAGCAGAGAGCCTTTCCATTCTGGCTGATGAAATCTGCTGTGCTAATATAGAATCCATCACAAGCACAATGCAGTTTCAGTGGATTTCAAGATTCTTTATTTTAAAGGTAGAAGGGTCACATAAAAGCTTCTCAAATAGCCTTCATGAATGGCCTCTTAGAAATTACTCTGACTTCCTCGGCAAAAGCCAAATGCAGGGACCAAACATTACTTTGGTTTCTCTCTTCCCTCTTATAAGCAAGGTATTAAAATAGCACCAAATATGAAATTTACATGTAAATTTGCAAAGTGAAGCAAATATAATTTAAGGCAACCAAAACTATGTATCTATTCCTGTTAAGCTGAGACCTTTTACAAAATGTATCACTAAAACCCCAAAAGTTCGAGCACGCCCAGATAACTCTGGGAGAAGATAAAATACCTACTGTTCTAATAACATTTTCTTCTACACTTTTACAACTTAGCACAGACTCTATGCCTCATTTTCAACTATTTTAATTCTAGTACTAAAATTCTAAAAATTTAAACTGCACCAGTGTTTTGACTAATGTTTAAATCATGAGGGCACATCATTTTTACTAATAAGAAAATGAAAATATATTTACATTCACAGCTATTATTTTACAAGACAATTACATATTAAAATAGAAAGTTGATCATTTTATTATTATGGTAACATTGGTTTATAACATAAATTTCAGGTGTACATCATTGTATTTCGATTTCTGTGTAGACTATGTCATGTTCACCGGCGAAAGACTAATTACCATCCATCCCTCTACACATGTGCCCAATCAGCCCTTTCACCCTCCTCCCTCCCTGCTTCCCCTCTGGTAATCATCAATCTAATCTCTGTCTCTATGTGTTTGTTTGTTTGTTGTTGTTTTTATCTTCTATTTATAAGTGACATAATATGGTATTTGACTTTCTCCATCTGACTTATTTCACTTAGCACAATGCCTTCAAGGTCCATCCATGTTGTCGCAAATGGCAAGATTTCATCTTTTTTTATGGCTGAGTAGTATTCCATTGTGTATATATACCACATCTTCTTTATCTGTTCGTCCCTTGATGGGCACTTAGGTTGCTTCCCAGGCTTGGCTATTGTGAATAACGCTGCAATGAATATAGGGGAGAATTTATCTTTACACATTTATGTTTTCCTGTTCTTTGGACACTACCCAGCTGGATAATGTGCTAGTTCTGTTCTTAATTTTCTGAGGAATCTCCATACTGTTTTCCATAGTGGCTGTACCAGTTTGCATTCCCACCAGCAGTGTATGAGAGTTCCCTTCTCTCCACATCCTCTCCAACACTTGTTATTTCTTGTCTTGTTAATTATAGCCATTCTGACGGGCGTGAGGTGACATCTCATTGTAGTTTTGATTTGCATTTCCCTAATAATTAGTGATGTTGAACATCTTTTCATGTACCTGTTGACCATCTGTGTATCTTCTTTGGAGAAATGGCTGTTCAGGTCTTTTGCCCATTTTTTAATTGGGTTGTTAGTTTTTTTGTTGTTGAGTTATATGAGTTCTTTATATATTTTGTATATTAACCCCTTATCATATGTATGGTTTGCAGATATCTTCTCCCAATTGTTAGGTTGTGTTTTCATTTTGTTGATGGTTTCCTTTGCTGTGCAGAAGCTTTTTAGTTTGATGTAGTTCCATTTGTTTATTTTTTCTTTTGTTTCCCTTTCCTGGTCAGACATGTTATTTGCAAATATGCTGCTAAGGCCAGTGTCAAAGAGCATACTGCCTATGCTTTCTTCTAGAATTTTCATGGTTTCAGGTCTTACATTCAAGTCTTTAATCCATTTTGGGTTAATTTTTGTGTATGGTGTAAGGTAATGGTCTACTATTATTCTTTTGCATTTGGCTGTCCAGTTTTCCCAACACCATTTATTGAAGAGACTTTCCTTTCTCCATTGTATGTTCTTGGCTCCTTTGTTGAAGATTAACTGTCTATAGATGTGTGGGTTTTTTTCTGGGCTCTGGATTCTGTTCCATTTGTCTGTGTGTCTGTTTTTGTGCCAGCACCATGCTATTTTGATTACTATAGCTTTGTAGTATATTTTGAAATCAGGGAGTGTGATACTTCCAGCTTTGTTCTTTTTTCTCAGGATTGCTTTATCTATTCAGGGTCTTTTGTTATTCCATAAAAATTTTAGGATTCTTTGTTCTATTCTGTGAATTCACTGGAATTTCGATAGTGATTGCATTTAATCTAGAGATTGCTTTAGGAAGTATGGACATTTTCACTATGTTAATTCTTCCAATCCAAGAGCGCAGGATGTCTTTCCATTTCTTTGTGTCTTCTTCAATTTCTTTCTACAGTGTTTTATAGTTTTCAGTGTACAGATCTTTCACCTCTTTGGTTAAATTTATTCCTAGGTATTTTATTCTTTTTATTGCAATTGTTAATGGGATTGTATTCTTAATATCTCTTTCTGCTGCTTCATTGTTAGTGTATAGAAACACAACTGATTTTTGTATGTTGATTTTGTATCCTGCAACTTTCCTGCATTCATTTATTTCTAACAGTTTTTTGGTGGTTTCTTTAGGGTTTTCTATATATAAAATCATATCATCTGCAAATAGTGACAGTTTTACTTCTTCCTTTCCAATTTGGATCCCTTTTATTTCTTTTTCTTGCCTGATTTCTCTGGCTAGGGCTTCCAATACTATGTTAAATGAGTGGAGAAAGTGGGCATCCTTGTCTGGTTCCTGTGCTTAAAGAGATAGTTTTCAGTTTTTCTCGGTTGAGTGGGATATTAGCTGTGGGTTTGTCATATATGGTGTTTATTGTGTTGAGGTACTTTCCTTCGATACCCATTGTATTGAGAGTATTTATCATAAATGGATGCTGTATCTTGTCAAATACTTTCTCTGCGTATTTTGAGATGATCATGTTATTTTTATTCTTCATTTTGTTAATGTGGTATATCACGTTGATTGACTTGCAGATGTTGAACCATCCCTGCATCCCTGGAATAAATCCCACTTGATCATGGTGTATGATCTTTTTAATGTATTGTTGTATTCAATTTACTAGTATTTTGTTGAGGATTTTTGCATCAATGTTCACCAGTGATATTGGCCTGTAATTTTCCTTTTTTGTGCTGTCCCTGTCTGGTTTTGGTATCAGGGCAATCTTGGCCTTGTAGAATGAGTTAGGAAGCTTTCCCTCTTCAATTTTTTGGAAGAGTTTGAGAAGGATAGGTATTAAGTCTTCTTTGAATGTTTGGTAGAATTCACCAGGGAAGCCGTCAGGTCCTGGACTTTT